TTACTTAATACTTAAATTGCTTATTATGTTATTTTACAGCGCTGTATCAACTGCTATGCTTAAGTAACATGGTAGAGTAATAAATCATGAGATATAACTTACATGATATGTGGCGGAGTTGAGGACAATGCATTCACCTGTAAAGAATAAGAAACATCCTTAATTGATACAATCGCTAAATTCACTCACAGCCTCGCAGGTATCAAGTACATTATCCAAGACAATTATGTTACCTGCTTTTCTATGGGTGTGAAACCTATTCTTTCATGTTAATGGAAGAACCAAGATTGACGGTGTTTGAGACCCGGATGCTGAGGAGAACATTTAGACCCATGAAGGATAAAAGGACATGGGACTGGAGAAAACATTACAAAAAGTTCCATAATTTGTACCCCTCACCGAATATTATTATACAATCTATGATGGGTAAGGTATGTAGAATGAGATAACTGCGCACAAATTTATTTCGGAAACCTGAGGGGAAATTATCACTTGTAGGAACCGGGAATAGGTGGTAGAATGTTGATATTAGAGATATGGATTGGCTGATTTTGATTGGATTTAACTGGAGCAGGGTAGGGACCATTGGCGAGCTTCTATGTGAACCTAGTAACTCAAGAAGGACAATGCTTCCTGGAGTTAGCTATTCGGTAGTAAATTAAATTCATCAGTAATTAAAGCACATACTTTTTTTAAATGAATGTTTAGTGGCCAAAGGTCGCGGTGTAGAAACTAATCGTTTTCATCCGTATACGAAATGCCCTAAGTTCGAACCTCGGTCCAGTAAACTGTTGTCACAACTGAAATGTTTCGTGGTTTTCATATTTTCTCTAAGACTAATGTCAGGGTAGTGCTTCAGAGTAATTTACGACCAATACCACCCTAACAAACACATTTTCATTTTAAATATCATCGGTAATCGACACAGCATCGAACGTTACTGCAATAAACATATAATAAAATTCAGGGCATAAAATATGCCTACAGGCCTAACAGTTAAGTCAAAATAATGATTGAATGCGTCTATCTGTAGATTATTTTCTGAATACAGAATTTCAAATCGGAATCCTTTAATAGATTTCCGAAAGGAAATGAGGTTTCAAGATCTAACAACAGCGAATGTGAAGATGGCTGTTTTCTACATTCTTGCGTAATAAGGCCATAATCGCCCTGATGATAAAGCATCAAGCACCTCTGAAACGTCTGTAAGTTTCTATCACACTACATGGCGCAACAACCCAGAAGATAGCCAGCCATTTTCCGAACGACACCCAGATACCTTAGGTATTTCTTTTGGAATAATTTCGTGTTTGTGGTTCCTTATTTATACAACCAAGTCAAAAACAACCTGAATTATTCATTTTTTTGTACATGACACTTCATTATCGAAACACAAACAGCAGCACGAATACATTTCTATTCATGTTTACATTAAAATGAAACTAAGTACATAACAAAACCCAAAGTCGAAAATGTTTTACTTCGTACAGTCAGTGCTGTAGTTACAGCTTAGCTCGTGATTGGCTGCCCATCAGTGTTTGAGAGTATTTGAGAAGAATATAAGACCGATGAAGTAGTATGCGGCTAGAAGAAATTGCATAATTTGTGTTCTTAGCCACATTTTATCACGGTGATCCAAACAAAGGAAAATAAGATTGGCGAAAAAAGGAGGTGATATATGCACACAAAGTTTTGGTTGGGAGGTGTGAGGGTAAGGAATTATACAGTAAACCGAGGAATTGATGTGAGTATAATACAAAATTAGTACTAAAGAAATAAGATGTTAAAATGTGAACTGAATTTAAACCGCTCCAATAGCGGGAGATTGTAGACATGTTAATGGAACTTGGTTTCATAAAAACAAGAGTTTATTACAATCCGAGTTATTAAATTAGTATGCAGTCATGACGTATGTTACGGTATTAATCCAGAAATTTCCTGGAAGGGATAAAACTAAATGAATAAACTAAAGAAATCTCATATTATGTATCCGGAGTTCCGGCCAAGAATAAAATGCCTGATCTCCCGAGTACTGGAGGAACGTTTAGCAAATTTATTTATTTATTCAATACTAAACAACATGCTTATACCTATTCTCAACAGAGTTTCAAATGAAGGTGTATTCTAACCTTTATTTTGAACGCATTTCTATCCAAATATTGGTCCCATGGTTGCTGACACAATTAATACATATGGGTCTAACCTCATTTTCTATGTAGGTTTAACTGATGACCACAGTCAGTAGTTGTTGTTACCTTTTGCTGTTAAATTTTCTAGGTCTAGCCATATTACATACAGGCGGAAACCGAAACAGAGACAGAATAAGCAGGCTGTAGAGGGCAAAGAAAGTGGTCCACGGGGGAACGTTTTAAAATCTCATTACAAGGAAAAAAACACGGAACCAGATTACAGTGGAACACGTGTTTCTGGGTTGTAGCTTCAGCACCAGAGTTGCATCTGGTACCACGCAAATCGGATTCCCAAAAGTGCCCCTTCTGCAACACTACATTACGGAAAATTGTCATTCATTTTACGTAACAGAGTTTACAACTAACGTGTGAGAACAATTATTTAAAGAAGGAAACCTAAATAGATATTTTCAATACTAGACGACAGTTATATACCATAATCACACGTTAACGTTCGCCATGTTTAATTTTATTTCAAGAAACCTTTCCTTGTATATTTACATGCTGAAATATAACTAAAAGGCTACAAATAGTTGGTTTGTACTGTGACAGAGATGGGGAAAATTTAAAAATAAAACAGGAAATCGGTTTTAGGCGAGGTATCTCAAACGTAGCATGTCCATAATTTCACGATATTCTTTGAGGTATATAAAACTGCGATCTTGTATTCATGAAACATGGATACCTATGGGTGTGAAGTTCTTACAGAATTTCTAGCCAAATCTATAATTCTTTGATTGAAGTAGGAGAACTTTCAAAACGCGAGAGTTTAAAAGAAATTAAATCCGTTTATAACATATTCATTTTAGCCAACTTTTAATGAAAAATAAAGTAGATATGCCTCTACATACTACTTCACTTAAAATTTAATTTAACGGAATTGAATAACTGATACCTTCTACAAAAGAAGCTAATTGGAAAATCAAATTAAAAAGTACGAAAAAGAGACGGTCTGGTAACAAACTGAAAATAAACTTTGATTTTAATCTCCACCTACTTATTACACGAAGGCCTTGGAAGTTATTAGAAACCATATTTAATGTATTTTTTCTTCTTATGTAACTCAATATAGCATTGGCAATATTTCAAGTATAATTACTTCTTTTATTCCAAAATTAATATTGCGGAGTACGACGAATAGTTAAACACAAGAATGGTGTGGTCAAATGAGACGTGAAATTAATAAGCAAGCCAATTCTCATTATAAACCTAACCTCAAAATCGTTCCACACATAGACAATAATTACAGCTAAAAGGGGCTACACACAATTCTGCCAAATCCATTTCGTTGAAAAAAGAAAGCAATAAAAATAAACGTTAATTTGTGTTGACATATTAATTAATGGATTCAATTAAATAGTAAATGAGTGTGAGAGTGGTAAAAACACCTGTTAGATACATGTCGGAGATCTGCCTCCTTCTAGACTGGGGGAAAAAAATGTGCTCATCCAATTCGGTAGTCTAGCATTGCAGTGTTATGCTCGTCGACAAATTGAAAAATTTCGTGCAGGCTTTAATGGATGAAGGGGTAGCGGAAGCCTAATTAGTGGTACACCCACTGAGACTGATCTCCGATAAAAATTGAACGTGTAATTTAATAGTTGCTGAACATACAGGTCGTATGACCCCCGCCAAATTTGAGGCGTTCGGTTTTATGGATGAATTATAGTTAGAATTACTGAGTTTTTTTAACTTACACATAGTCTTGTACTCGAAAATAATACGTTTTGGGAACTGAATATTTTTCCGTCTACACGTCAAAAACTGACGAATTACTTAATTCCAATAGGCAACTTAGTAGGTACTAGCAAGTTACAAATCCACTAGTTCACAGATCCAATTTCCGAAATGTTGTTTTCTGTTTAAAATGTACACACTTCAGAAACCTTGTAAAATTAATTATGATACTAGCTACAGCTCTTTCATAATATTCAGATTTAATTCCATCTTATTCAAGCATCACACATTGGGACATCAAGCCTGTTAAGATTCAAAATAAATTCTAAAACAAGAAATATCTTCGTAATTCGAACACTTCAACCAGAATAGCCGGTATTTGCGCCGAGATTTGAACTCGAAAGGTCACGAATACAAAGCAAAGATGATAATGAGTTCAGATCTTTTCTTCGTCACAGGTTCCGATTTAGTTTGGAGTCAACCCAAATTCCCATTAACTATACAGTGAATTTTCATATCCCTGGCTAAAACGGCCGGAGCGAGAAGTTGACCACTCGCCTCCATTTAGTGCCGAGGTTAGAAATTTGTGTAGCTTCATATAAAGTTTCCTTTTCCCTTTACATCTAGTGCTTAGGCATAGGGAAAACATTATATTGGAATTTAAACATATCATGTCATATTTCGTTTCAAGGAATAAATGATCCTTTGATCAGCAAATATTTACACTTCTTTCGCTTCATATTCCTATTACAGCTTACTTGAGATCTCTGGACAAGGGATAGCATTTTTCCCCTTCTTCCATGTTCTTATCATCTGTATGATTTGAGGTTTTCACAGCCGTGAAGACAGAAATCTTCATACTCATCGCCCTGATGACGGAGGCAGTATGACCTCCGAAACGTTGGTAAACATCGACCAGACTACACAGCGAAACAGCACAGAAGACAGAAATCTTCTTATCATCTGTTAACGTGTTTTTAAATGTAATCTTACTTTATAAATCCCGGTGCTTATTTCTGAAATTTCACCAAATTTAGTCCTTATATTTCCGGGCATTATCCAGACTCAGTTCGTATTTACCACAACCTGTCCTTCATTTATCATTTGTGGGACCAGTTTCGCGAAAACGATTAAGTCGAAAAAAGACTGATCTATTTGATGAAACAGCATCAGGAAAATTTGCATGGCAATTGATCTTTGCAATGTAGATGTGTGGTGGTTTCTTTGAGGTAAGAACTAAATTCGTAAATATTATTTAGATGAGATTTGAA